TTGGAGAGAAGGCTTATTTAGGCTGAGGAGCAATGTCAGCACAGTGCAAATCAGTATGAATTGTCCAAGAAGAACAATGCCTGAATCTTTTTAACTGTCAGAATAATGGGACTGTGTAATTGCCTTTCTGTCTGAATACCAGGCAGCAAGACCTCAAGTCTTAAGACAGAGCATGCTTGTCACAGGACACATTTCTGGCAAGCACAGGATGCTAAAAGTGAAAGCAAAAAATTGCTTTCAAGACTGTCTATTTAAGATACTGTTGTCTTACTTCTATTATGCTGACTCAGTTTTGTTACCCTCCAAGGAGAAGGGCTCTTTCTGCCGGTGTAGGCGTTCAGCCCTCACCCTCCTGTTGTGTTAGGAGTGGGTGACTACAGAAAAAAATAGATTGGACACACAAAAGCTCTTCAGAATTGTGGGAAGACAGCTGTGTTTCTCTCCCCGGCAAACCTAGGTAAGGAAAGCTAGCAAGGAAAGCTAAGGCTTATAAAAGGATGGAAGGACTTGGTAATGCACGGGAATACAAACAACAGGAAGTGCTCAGGAAAATGAGTGGATTTTTCTCCCTGTAGAAAAATCAGGGAAAGTGGCTCAAGTACCGGAGATAGTTACAAAGGTGCAGATAGCATAGCAACAGAGAACAAAGCATCTTCACAGAGGCAGAGCTGCCTTCAAGGCACAAACGCAACAGGGGAAAAGAAGGAAGCAAGGAGCCTGTGAAGGACAAATGTAGTGGGTATGCCCTGTTGCTTTTTTCACAGGTTCCCTGCAGCTGATCACTTGGGCTGCTACGGCAGGTAAGGCTCTGGGGACAGACTTTAGGACTCAGAAGTTGCAGATATCTAATAATAATGTATGGGAGATCTGGCAAGAGTGGCCAACTCTAGTTGGATGCAATTAACCTGGAAGCTCCACTGGAATAGCTAAAAGCCATGAATATCAGGGTAAAACACCTAATGCACATCTCTAAAATGGGCAGTAGTGATTCATACCACAACAGATCTGGAAGAAGGAGGACACTGAAACCTGAAAGTGACCCAGAACTGACAATATCTGACAGAACTGACCTTGGTGATGCAAAGCTAATAAAAATAATTCATAGACCTGTGCTGGACCTTGTTACTAGCAGGCATGCAGAGAACAAAGCTAAAATATGATCTGAGCATATTGTGTGGCCCCAGGAACATGAGTAGCCACAGAGCATGTTCTTACAGGATCGACTGTATTAAGATTTTACAGGCAGAGAGGGCAGGCAGTACAACGTATGAAGACTGATACTGCTAATGCCAACACTACATTTTCCTCAGTTCTGTGTCCACTGGAGATTATGGAAAGCCCTGAAGAGAGACCTCTGAGAGAGCTGGGGGGTCTGGGCTGTCGTATAAAAGCAAGTCTGGAGCAGTGCCTACGTGAGTTCTGTGAGAGGAGGGCCAGCCTGTTCCCCTCCGTCTGAACCAAAGGGACACATTTTCCTACAAAAAAGAGCCATGAAAGCAGAACATAAATGCTTGCAGAAGGGCATGCTTGTGTGAGACACAAACATCCCCTCCACGATGCGTGGAGCCTTCCAGGTGGTTTGTCACAATCCCCCGCGGTGCTCACCGGGGTGTGTGATTTGCTCTGAGGGGACACTGCGGCTCCATCCATCCATCACTCACCTCTGGGCCCACCCGCGAAGGGAGCTGGCTGTGTCGGGGGAGCCATCCTTTTCCCAGTCCCTTGCTTCAGGGCTGTGAGTGCCCCGAGGGCGTGCACTGTGCACAACCCTCTGTATTGCCGTAGCTACCTGGTAATTTGTCAGGTGTGGCTGTAAGTCTTGGCTGTAGTGCGGTACAGGCCACGTGCGCAAAGTGCTGTGCCTGCGTCTGCACGTCGGCTTGTAAGTAAAATAAATTGCTAATAACAAGAAACTTTAAAAAATGTATTCGTAAGCCCAGCAGAGAACAGTATAGATACATCATGGTGAAAGACAAGTAGGATCTCTCATACAAATGTCAGAACATTCCCAGAATCCTTATGCAGAAGAGCCCAGAAGGTACGGAGCGTGTCCTTGGAGCGTACTGCCCCCTCCCATCCTCCGAAGATGTCTGGAGCTGTGGTGACACGAGGATTGATCTGCTTTTATTTACTTTTTTTTATTTTTTTTTCCCCCTCTTCCTCCCTGTTGTTTTTGGAATAACCTTAAGAAGTGGATTATATCCCAGTGCAGGGAAAGGTAGGCTGAACTCACGGGTTACGTTTTGCTCCTCTTGCCATCCTCAGTGGCCTGGCAGGGAGCAGCAGCAGTGTGCGGGACAGACATGTTCTGGGTTTTGATGTATTTGTCACACTGAGACCAGGGAAGAGAGTCAATGACTCTCTGAAAGAGGGTGAGTGAACCGGTAGGGTAGGGAAGCAGTATCGTCCATCGGTAGTGAGCAAAATGGCACAAGGACATCCCTCCGCCCTCACCAGATCTCTACAAAACTGGCTACGAGGCCAGCCCTGTGGGCAGAACCTGATGGACAAACTTTTGTTCATCCACTGCACTTTGCTGGGTCCCAGGTGGGGAGGAAGGAGCTCCAGGGCCATTTTCCTCTGTGTCCTCCATGACAGCAGCCTCCTTTCCTTGGGCAAGCTCCATAGCAGCGATCACCTTGTGGGGCCTTGGCAAGGGGCCAGTTCTTCAGCATCTCCGTCATGGGAAGGCAAAGCACAGTTGTTAACCCGTGAGCTGTTCTGTCAGCTCAGTTATCGCAGGTTAGGAGAGATGGAGAGCACAGACCTTTACCTGTTTCACTGGTGGGTTGATGATTTAGGGGCATATTGCACACTCTGATGCCCTGGCCCCCAGTTATCTGCAATGGAGACCTGCTTGGGTGCACTGCAGCCGCTGTGACCCCTGCGGCCTGGTTTTCTTCCCCTGCAACCCGGGATCAGACGGGCAGGGAGGGGAGGGTGGTTTGCTGCATGCCCAGGTCTCATCCCAGCGTGTACTCAAGTTATGATTGTTGATTGATTTGATGTGCAAAGCATTTTTAGACAAAAAAAATAAATAAAAAAAACTGAACAGGCACAATTTTCTAACAAGTAATGTCATTTAATGAATGATACAGTCTAGAAAATAGAAACTACCCAGATGCTGGTTGGTTGGTTGGTCTGTTTGGGGCTGGGAGAAGGCCCTTGCTTGGACACACAATGCCTTCTCTGGATTCTTTTGTCAGCATTTGCAGTTGCTGGAAACAAGGAAACATCCATATATTGAAAGAGACACTAAGGGGGCAATTTTTTTCTGAAATGCGGGAAGTATGCAGAACACCTTCCCATCCTGTCTCATTGGGCAAGTGGCATGAAGGGCTCAGAGCTCACCAATATCTTTACAGATGACTCATACCTAAAAGGGATAGACTCAACCAACGGTACGTACCCACAGCTCAGCCCTCTAAAACCATCGGAGACTGCTCACTTCACTGAACATCTCGTGGGCTCTGGTGTTATTGCACTTCTTTCTGGGTGCTTTTCTGCACGTGTTGTGTCTCTTCCCTCAAGGTCTGGCTGCTGATTCCAGGGAATATGCTTTTCAGAATGTCACAGTACACCGTGTACAGCTCTGGGTCTATTTGGGGCTTGGGCAGAGATCGGGAGTTGCAGGCCTGTTCAGTGACTGAGTGCTGTAGCAAGTAGACATCGCTGAAGAGCGCAGTTAGGATCTTGTGTGCAGCCTTGTAAGGGTCATCTTCGAACTGCACCATTGCCTTGAGCTCCGTCAGGGTGTAGCCGTTGTAACGCTTGCTGTCTTCGGCCAGGGGCTGCACAGTCTCACCGATGTGTCTCACTTTCCACTTCAGGCATTTCAGTTCTTCTTTTACATCCTCTAGTTCTTTCTCCATGGCTTGGAATTCCTTCGTGGTTACAAATCTCCTGCCAAGGAAAGAAGTGGCAGACACAGTGTGGAGTTCAGAGGCTCAGAGGGGTGAAATCAGCCCAGCTTGCCTGGGGTCGGACCACAGAGCCTGAGGTTTGGGAAGGGAGATACCGGCCATGTCACTGAAAACCATAACCAGCTCTTATCTGTCAGGCTTCATAGTAACAGCAGAGTTTCTCTCTGCTAGTATAGGGAGAGATGTGCTTTCTCATTCGAAAGGAAACGAGGCACCTTGAAACTGCCCCGCTGGAGGAGCTGAGGTTGACAACCTGGCCCAGGGGTGGTCCTGGAATCGGGCTTGGAGAGCTAAATGAATGTGTGGAAAATGTGGTATTTTGCTTCTTGGGTAACAGGGTTCAGTGGGAGCAGAGGGTAGTTACCGGAAAACAAATACTGGGAACATTTAAATCATAAAAGATATTTAAATTTTTTTTATGAGGGGCTCTTAATGACCCTGTACCAAGTTGAGTCATTTGAGGACTTAAACGTGTGTATGGTCTGGATACGTACCTTTCATGACCAGGATCTTCCAGATCTGATTCAAAACCCTTTTCTGTATTCTTTAATCCAGTTTTAGAATAGCTAGGAGACTGGGAACTATCTTCAGGAGTCATTGTTGCTGGAGGCCTTGTGCTTTTCCTGGTTGGGATCAGTGTGTGGTCTGATGCTGAAGCTTGTACGTTTTGTGCTGTGTGAGGACAAAAGGTATAGAAGGAAGTTGCATTGATCCCTGGACTGACTGGAGAGGAGTCAGAGTATTGCTGAGGCTTGGCTGAGCTGGATGTTAGACTGAGCCTGAGGCTGGCTGGGCAAGATGCTGGAATAGGCCTTGCTCCGAATGGGCTGGAACATGATATTGCTAGATTTTTGTTTCTTTTCTCAAATGGCTGAGGGCTTGGTGATTCTCCTGGGGCCAATATAGTGATGGAGGAAATGTCCAGCAGGGTTTGATCCTGAACCATGGAGATCTGGCTGGTCGGTTCTGATGAAAGTGAAGAGCTGCTTGATGTGTCACTGGAAGAGCTTGACGTAGCGGATGGGGGTATTTTCTGAGCATTATGGTCACTCCTGTTCCTCTGCGTGCTAGTGACATTTAGAGCTGGGTGTTGTGAAGCCCTAAAGAAAGACAAACACACACTTTTTCCTCTGCACTGGACTAAAGGCTTATAAGACACTTTTAGGCCTATTTTGGCACAATTTTAAGCCTGTTTCCCATAACTGCATTTCCCCATAGGCTGATTTGCTTCTCAGGTCTGTATAAAACCCTCTGCTTCTCATGATCAAGAACAAAGTGGTTGAGAATAAGGCACATAAATTCAGGAGCAGTTCCTCCCTGGTGCCAACCAAGCGCTGGTCAGCTATCATCAGCGTGATAATCACTGGCACATCAGTGTTCTCCTTCCCAAAAGTCATACAGCTCTGCAAGAACCAAGGATTTGGTGCTGGGGAAGGACAGGAAGGGAAGAAAGCTACTGGCATATTGACTGTGACAAATTCCAGTAAGAACGCAAAAGGATAAAACCTGGCTTGCAGGTTGCCACAGCACCTGCCCTTGATCATCCCTGCAAAGTGTGAAGACCTGCCTTCACCTTGGACCCACACGCTTTAGTCTCCTGATAGCTCTGCACGGTCAGCCAGTGAATTAGGGGATGAATAAACAGGAAAGATAAAAACAGAAGGGCAGCACAGAATGACATCATTGTTCCTGTGGTGACATTATAGGACATTTCTCCTCTACAGCTCGGTGTGTTAAGGGCTTTTCTTCCCTCCCCTGAGCTGTAGACTGTGTACAGGGCTGACCAGCTATTTTAGGTGGCTGGAAATGCCAGCTGCATGGGATGCCAGAGAACCCCTCCTGAATATTGTTTCTCCTACTTCTCTCCTAGCTGCTGCCAGATAGGAGAGATCCCAATGCTTTTTTTTCCTATGGCTAAATTTTACTCAGTGTGGCAAGACTGATGGCAAGAGAGGAAGATGTACCCATGTGGACTGGAATTGTCCCGATGGGTAGCGAATGCAGCTAGAAATGCCTTGACCTTGAAGGGGAACACAAACATACCCACTGTGCAGATCATGATTCAGGATTTGTAACAGCCAAAGGACATGACAAACTTTTGTAGCAATACCAGTGACCAACTGAGTCTTCTTGGGCATCTGGTGTATTCATATTCCTCTGGTGGTGGAAGACAGCAGAAAATCCTGGTCTGGATGGGTTATATGAGATCTAGTGCACGAAGTCCTGTCCTGTTAGTACCAGTGGCTTGAGTTAGCTACATACTCACTTCTCCACCTCCCTGCACCTTTCTCAGTGTTGGATGCCATTAAACGCCGAATTTTTAAGGTCCTAAAGAGCATGCCTCACACCTATTGGCTTCAATAGGGTTAATTAAGGCCTTTGCTAGATCACAGCATGATTATCAGGTTTAAATCAAATTTACAGTTTTTATAATCGGAAAAGCAGACAGTAACAGAGCTACTGCATAAAAATAGAGCCCAAAAAGAAGCATAAAAAGAGTTGTATAAAAGGCAGGAGAGCAAACAAGAACAGACATGTCAGAGGGAGCACCCTTGCCCAGAAGTGCCTTGCTTTCATAAACTGGCTGAACAGGAGTGGAAGGCAAGAATTGCTGACTAGATACACGGAAAAGCTTTTTCACCCTGAGGGTATTCAAACACTGGGACAGAGGCCGAGAGAGGTATTGGGGTGTCCATCCTTGGAGGTATTCAGAACTCCACTGGACAAGGAACTGCGCAGTCTGACCCAGCCTGGTCTAAAGGACATGCCGTGAGCAAGGGACTAGACTAGAGACCTCTGGAGGCCCTCTCCACCCTGTGTTATTATGTGATCCAATGATTCTGCCTAACTATGAAAAGAACTTATTTCCCCCACAGTTTCCCTTTCTCCTTTCACTTTTCTCCCCTCTGAGTCCCACCTCACCATCCTGCTCTTCCATCGGAGGCTCTGGGCTATCCCCTTCCATGTTGGCTTTATAGTGCCTGCTGCAGGAGTCCCCCTCAGAAATAAAAAGGTTTTCAAAGGGAAAACAGTGTTACTTGCAGCCCTCTGGCTCAGATGGATTGCTTCCCCTTCCTTGTATAGGTCAGAGTGGGTAGCTCAGGCCTTTGGAAAAGTGGGCTGTGGGAGCGAAGGTAGCCTGGGGCTGGGCATCTCTGTGGTGTTGCCTTTGCAAATGGAGTTGCTGTTTCTCAGTCTCTCCTGAAAGCAAGGAACGATGGCTTGTAGCGTGTTCGGTCAAGCTGTGCAGGTGTTCAGAAAGTAGGAATTTGGCAGGGTGAAGCTGATGGTTCATTTCTTGTCAGAGAGACTCAGAAACCTGGTAAACTTGTGAGAATCTAGAGCCAGAGCTTCTGGCCGAAGGGGCCAGGCAGGTGGGAAGAGCTGTCTGTTGGTTCATGGGCTGCTCTGGGACCGGGAGGAGGAGTGGAAAAGGGTGAGCTTCTGGTACAAGGAACGCAAATCAAAATTACTGGTTATTTAAATCAGAGCCAAATCTCAGGCATTCCTTAATCTTCACTACAAAACCCTACATTCAGTAAATACGTTTTGCTGTAGTAAATAAAAAAAAACCTTATTCTGACAAGAGCAAAACCCATTTTAAGGCAACTAAAATAAAAATGCGTGTTGTAATTTTTTTGTTAAAAATATACATATTTGTCCTCACAGCGTAAAACTATCTGAACGTTAAGTGAGCAAAAGTCTCTACCTACATTCTGGGGGAAATATAATATGCACAGTAACTGAAAGGCTATTTGGGTGCATATACGATAGGAAATACTTCATTTTGTGCCTTTAGCAGTGTTGGACAGGGTTGGGGTTTTTGTGTTGTGGGTTTGTTTGGTTTTTTTTTTGCATAAATCCAGGATTAGCTGTAGGAGATGGAACATTTATGGAAAGACGCTATTTAAAAGAGTGACAGAAAACACGTTTCATAACTAATCTCACTGAAATTTGTATAAGAAATGTTTCCAATTCACCTGTGCACTGGATGCAACAAAAAAGTATTATAAACTATCACTTTCTTTTGCTCTCCTTTTCCACCCTTTAATTTTCACTGGCTGCAGTGCTAAATGTGGGACTGAATTTACTTTTGTCATCAAGCTTGTTTCAGAAGCAGAGGAGCTGCTTGCTTAAGAAGCAATCTAAAGCTTGTTAAAGCAAAATGTTAGTCTGGATTTTAGCAGAGGTAAATGAGGACGGAACTGAGACCTGTAACTTTGGAGTTTCCTAGTGGGCAAGGGTTTGCCTGACGACAGGAATGAAATTCCCATTGCTTTCAGTATAGCAAGGCTGGATCTTAGATCTGTAACCATGGTGCTTTATCAGAGGGGATTTTTTTCCCCACCGGTTTTTATGTAGTGAATCACTATGAACTGAATAAATTACAGGAAGAATTGCAAGACCTGGAGTTGAAATCAATGCTGACATGAAATAGGAAGGTGATTGCAGCTGTCAGGTATCTCCACAAGCAGAAACCTTGACTCAACTTTGAGCGACACTTCAAATGTGTCAAGCCCTTGTTGTCTGCCTTCTTCCAGCCCTGTGCTGCTCAGCATATAAAGCATGTTCCCCGTTGTCAGAGTGACCTTGTCTGCCGTCTGTGCCTTGCCCTCTCCAGCTGAGCTTGTGCAATAGACTTTTTGTAGCACTGAATTTGGAGACGTTGGAAAGTTGCCTGCAAATCCAGCACCACTTTCCTTCTGTGGCACTTGCGACCAAGAAAAAACAGTGGATATTCTTTTTTTATGAATCATTTCCACCATGTTTTAAATCTAGAGTTCTTCTGATGATCACGTTTGAATAGAAAAAAATGACAATGATGTGCTTTACAGTGAAGCACTGAGGGGCTGGTTGCATAAATCTTAGTGTAGACAGCCAGGGGTGGGAGGATGGTAGAAGAGCTGTGGGATGGACCCAGGGGAAATGCCTGCAGGGTGATGATATGCAAATAAAATTATTTTTTTCAAGGCCTCCTCTTTGTAGGTGACCCTGCCAAAACAGTGACTATATTATTTTTTTAATGCTAAATTCGTTTTGAATAATCTTTCAGTTTTCTACGAGAAAAGCTGGTATCCTGGACCCTGGGTTTATCTGCCTCAAATAACAACCAAGGCTTTTAGCCACAGGCAGTCAGAATATGCAGTTTCCTGCTCAGCTCTTGGCTCTTCTGAGCTTCCCATCTCCTCTTTGGCTTTGCCACCATACCTGTCCCTCTTTGTCTTGTGTGACATCTCTCCTGCCTCTCTCTTACCCCTTGTTCTACATCTATGATCCATACCTCTCCCATCTGCCCCGTGGCTCCCAGGCACACTGACCCAAGCAGCGGGCTCATCCTGTTAATGCCTAGTGGTGGGAGAAGACTGGAGGAGAGTGTGGAAGTGGCATGGGCATACAGATATCTGAAATCAGGTACAATTGCTCTCTGGAGCCTAATAACAGTGAGCATTTCTGGGTGATAAATAACTATGCAACAACAAAAAAGATCCTGATGTGAAACTTCTCCTTCTATCGTTTTTGTGCAGTGATGGTGCACAGCTGTGCATCGAGGTCTCCCAGCCCTGCACATCTGAAAGAAGGAGTTGAGACCTCCAACGTCAAAAATGACAGCAAACAGGCTATTAAGAGTGTTTACAGCTTTGCAATGGAAGTGCTAAGTTTGGTATGAACAAAACGTGACTGGAGATATTAGAGGTATAGGGGCCAGCGCCATATGTTTGCACAGGAAGGCAGCTTGGTGAGAGCAGAGGATGCCAATTTACAGCTAGAGCTCCCTGTTCTTAGCCCAGCTCAGGCAAGTTTAAACCCCATTAAAGGAAAATTACAGTTTAGTACTGGACATTAAATGGTTTAATATAGAATTATCAAGACTGAATATTGCATTGCCCCGATCAAGACTCCTCTGGAATCAAGCTTCTGATGAAATTTATAATTTAAGGCCACGTCTCAAAACGGATAGCTTAGTCTCACCAATGGAGGAACCTGAGATCCTGCCCTGGTCCTGGCCTGGCATAAAGTCCTTCGTGCTACCTGCGCTCTCACAGTGCTCCTGGGCTGCTCGCAAACCTTTAATATTCTCTCTTCTAAAATCACCTGGCCAGTTGGTGTTTGTCTTCTATGATTGCTCAGTTTTGTTCTTTTATTTAAAGTTTTTACTGTTTCACCCTACCGCGGCACTCCCCAGAAATCCTTGCCTCTCAGCAAGGACCAGATGCTCTGTTTTGTCTTTGTGGAAGGACAGAAAAAAGCATGATATCTGAGGATGCGTGAATATTCCTTATATGCTGCTTGGTTCAAATTAGAACAGCCTCAGAGCATTTCTAAGTGCGGGCAGCTGACAAGTCCTCCAGGGAATGAAATGCTGGTTGAAGTGAGCAGCAGGA